GTTGGGTATCAGGTAGAGGCGTTTGCAGGGAATCCTTGAGAAGAAAAAAGTGAATGTATTCCATTGACACCTGTGAGGCAGAAGGGAGCTCCAGTGTGTAAAAAGAGGGGAAGGCTCACAGAGCTGTGACTTCTCTTTTTTTGTAATTAATTGATCTATCTTTTTCCCATCTATTTTTTATTCGTATATATTCATGCAGGTACAAGTACAATCTTGTTACATTGCTATATTTCATTGTAGTAAAGTCAGGGAGTTGTGACTTCTAAGTCTTAAAATAGGGAAAGTATTGAACTTTTTAATAGAGGTCTGTACCCAAAAGGGGGAAAAAAGCATTTTACTGTGTTTGTAAACTGCAATTGAGAAAAATTAATGCTCAAGCCTCCTTTTGAAGCTAAAAGGGAGATGGAAAGTAATAATAGAGTGATCTTATCACTAACTTAAGATATAGAATATCATTAATATTGTCCTTACATAATATTTTATCCTGGTGTTTCATTTATTGAATATAGAATTATTTTAAGAACTTCTGTGGGTACTTTACCAACTGTAGTTCCCCGATCTTATTTTTTTCATGAGATCTTAATGTCTTCAGTTGTGAATTCACTTGCTGTTGATCCTGTAGCTAGATCTAGACTGCTGTTTTTCATAAATTTGTGAGGATAAAAATACTCACATCATTTTACTAACTTACTTATATTCCCTAACTTATGAAAAATTTTAGACATTCAAAAAGAGAGAAATAGTATCATGAGTCCCTCTGTACCTATCATTTAGCTTTGAATATTATCAATTCATAATCAGTCTTTTCTGCATATAATCCTCTATCCTGATTATTTGGAAGCCCACCGCCATAATAACGTCTATAAATTATATTTCCAGTCAGTGCTAAAATTGCTGTCATTGCCTCATTTAATAATTTGTTCACATCAGGATCCAAATAAGATCTGTACATTATAATTAATTGCTAAAATTCTTTGCTTAATCTGTTTCTAATCCCCTTTCACCTTGTCTCTGAAAATATATATATTGAAAACTGATACCATTTGTCCTATAGTTTTCAACAGCTTGAATTTGGGTGGTTGAATGCCATAGTGTCATTTAATATTATTTTTCTGTTCCATGTATTTTTTTGTAAATTAATAATTAGGACAGGAGTCTTGATCAGATTTAGGCTCCACAGTTAGTTGTAAATGAGCTTTGCTTTTTATTCTTGAGAACTCAATAGTTATGCCTTATGTCTTTTCTTATTAAAGTCTAAAGTTCTTCTGAATTTATGAATTAGACAAAGACTAATGTTTCCTTAGATGTTATTAGTTTCAGTTAATACTCAAACTCTGTATAGCTCTCAGAATTAAAATCTTACATTATTATGATTCTGATATTAATTATGCTTTTAAAGAATAAGATTATCTTATAAATAATTTTTGAACATTTCATTTTAATAGGTGGGAATTTGAAGAATCTGAAGAAGATCCAGTGACAAGTATCCCATACCAACTTCAAAGGCTGTTTGTTTTGTTACAAACCAGCAAAAAGAGAGCAATTGAAACCACAGATGTTACAAGGAGCTTTGGATGGGATAGTAGTGAGGGTACTAATTCTCTTATAATGATAAATGTTTCTAATATTCAAAGGAATTCTGGGGAACAATAATATTACAAACACATTAACAACTTAATTATCTTTTTCTTAAAACTTTCAAACTTTCATTGGAAGTTTGTTGTCTTAGATTTTTATAACACATTTCTTTACAATGAAAAATAACAAAAATGACAAATACTGTAGCACTGTGAAGCATATATGATTTATAGAATGCTGGGATCTCAAGATTCTTTGAGATGGCCTTTTCATGACTATAATGTATATTTTTGTGTTATTTTTAAATTTAGCATTAAAGTAAACTTTTTCATATTTCTGCCTGTTTGCTTTTAGACACAAATTAATGTTTCATTATACTAAATTTATTGCTGTTTTTAATTGAATTTTATCTTAAAATAGCTTGGCAGCAGCATGATGTACAAGAACTGTGCAGAGTCATGTTTGATGCTTTGGAACAGAAATGGAAGCAAACAGAACAGGTAATTCATATCTCTCAAATTGAGGGAATTATTTTCTAATGAATCATTCATGACCTTAAAGTGACTTTTTTTTTTTTTTTTTTGAGACAGAGTCTCACTTTGTTGCCCAGGCTAGAGTGATTGCCGTGGCGTCAGCCTAGCTCACAGCAACCTCAAACTCCTGGGCTCAAGCAATCCTACTGCTTCAGCCTCCCGAGTAGCTGGGACTACAGGCATGCGCCACCATGCCCGGCTAATTTTTTTTCTATATATATATTAGTTGGCTAATTAATTTCTATTTATAGTAGAGACAGGGTCTCGCTCTTGCTCAGGTTGGTTTTGAACTCTTGACCTTGAGCAATCCGCCCACCCTGGCCTCCCAGAGAGCTAGGATTACAGGCGTGAGCCACCCCGCCCTGCCAAAGTAACTTTTATTCTGTTGAAATGTTTTAAAACTTGAGCATTAGTCCAGTGGTTAAAGTAATGAATGGGGAATTGAAAGTATTAGTATTATTATATTTTTCATTTGGCCATTAACTGAGTCATAAACATCCTTTTTAAACCCCCCTAAGGTCTCAGTTTTCTCATCTTTAAGGAAGTTGGGCTGTATGATCTGGAAGGTCTATTTTAGCTCTAAAAATTATATAATTCATATTTCATATGTATGTATGGCTTTTTGAGATGATTTTTAAGCAATATTTTCAGATATTTATTAAGTAAATTTTATATCTTATAATTTGTTATACATTGTATTGTCATGAAGTATGACTTTCATTTTGACCAATGAAGTATAGTCATATGTGTTTGACGTTTAGGATCCTCATTAATCTGACCCTTCTCTAATGGAAGGAGGAGCAGGTTAGAAGTGGAAAGGACGTTAGATACATCATCAGGATGAGGGAGGAGTAGGGTTGACTTGGATGGAGCTCAGTATAAGGGAGGGTTTATACTGGGTATAGTGATAGAGGATCACAGAGATAAAAGGGGAAGAATATATAAGGTAGCTTGGAGAGTTTGATTTCTTATTAGAACTTGTGATAGCTTAAACCAGAGTTTTTCAAACCATAGATTACAATCCATTCATTGTTTATGAAATCATTTTAATGGGTCTACACAAGCACTTTCAAAAAATGGAATAGAATAGAAAAGTCTAAGAGAATATCACATAAGTAAGATTAAATATTGTTTTATAAAACTGTTGTTACAGTAATATTTATTGGGTTGCAATGTAAATAATTTTCTTGTGGTGGTTTGCTATCAGATGTTTAAATAACACTGGTTGGAATCACTTTGGAATGCCCTCCTATGTACAGAAGACATAATCACATGTGACTAGAGCAGAGGAATGAAGGAGGCTTCATTAAATAAATAGTCTTGGTGTAGACAGTGATGATGGATCCAGTTTGAAGGCTTATTAAGTCGTGGACATTTGAAGAGTAAATTCATGAAAGAAGTAAATTATAGTATGCTTTCCCTCATGCTTATTCTTAAGAGATAATGAACAAAATTTTTCAGTTAGTGATCTAGTTTTTCTACGTAGTCCTACAGGACTATATTTAGTAACTATGTAGATGGTATTAGGGGCTATTTTTTCTTTGTAGGTCTGAAGTTACCCTTCCTCCTTGTTATATTCTTCTCTGTGAGTCAGCACTTCCATTAAGATCAACTGGGGCATTCCTACTGAGTTCCTAAGTTTTGGTATAAGAATCTTGAGGCAAGGCATTCTCTTGGAGGGTCCTTACTTAGGGAGTGCCTTCTGAGCCAGAGGAGCCCCAGTTGGCTAAGTTTGGGGATTAAGTGAGAGATCCGTTCTTTTAGGTGAGGACATTTTGAGGGAGATGGATTTTAAGATATATTTTGAATTTCCATACATTTAAAAAAAAAGTTATGGTATCATATTTCTCCTTAAAATTGTTTTATGTATATTACTGTAAGTATTTGCATCTTGAGCTAGAGGATATGATTTTATAAATCAATATATTATTATGAGAGTGGTGATATGCATATATAAAACTATAAAAATACAACCACAACGTTGTTTAGTTGTATAATTATGAACCTACCTAAAGTGATAGATTAGAATTTATTTTCATCCTAATGAAAAGATAATATCAGACTTAATGGTATAATAAATTGGTAACTGATTTCATCAAAACCTATTTTAATAGTTGAGTTCTTTTATGATGTAAGTATTAAAATAGTTAATTTTTGCACATTGACTCTTTAATTAGTGTTAATCTAATTTTATGGATTTTAGGTGATTTTTGTCATTTTTTAATATAAAATTATAGACAAATCTATACTAAAGCTTTCTGAGATTTTTAACATTAAAAATCAATATCCTGGCCGGGCGCGGTGGCTCACGCCTGTAATCCTAGCCCTTGGGAGGCCGAGGCGGGCGGATTGCTCAAGGTCAGGAGTTCAAAACCAGCCTGAGCAAGAGCGAGACCCCGTCTCTACTATAAATAGAAAGAAATTAATTGGCCAACTGATATATATATAAAAAATTAGCCGGGCATGGTGGCTCATGCCTGTAGTCCCAGCTACTCGGGAGGCTGAGGCAGAAGGATCGCTTGAGCCTAGGAGTTTGAGGTTGCTGTAAGCTAGGCTGACGCCATGGCACTCACTCTAGCCTGGACAAAAAAGTGAGACTCTGTCTCAAAAAAAAAAAAAAAAAATCAATATCCTTTTGTGAATCATTCTAAAAAGCATGAATTATGTTTTCACATATTTTAAAAATTATTCTTTAAGAAACAATTTAAAAAATGCGAATGTTCTTATTTTTAGGCGGATCTTATAAATGAACTGTATCAAGGCAAGCTGAAGGACTACGTGAGATGTCTGGAATGTGGTTATGAGGGTTGGAGAATCGACACATATCTTGATATTCCATTGGTCATCCGACCTTATGGGTCCAGCCAAGCATTTGCTAGTGTGGTGTGTACCTTTCACCTGACTGCTTGTGTATCCTTACACAGAGTATGTAATAGCACAGTGATATAATCTCTTGTAAGGTAAGTATCATCCTAGATACACCTTCTTGGGTTGTTAGTCATTCCTGCATTTAAACTAGCAAGATTTAGAAGATCTTTGATACTTCAGTGAGTCCTAATAGTGCATGTATAAGAGGGAAAATAAATGCAAATGTACTGCCTCATGGTTCAGTGTTTTATTCTTTTTGATAGGTGATTAGATAATTTCATCTTTATCTTTTTTTAATATCTAAAAAATCTATTTTATAAATGCCATTTGGTGACCACTTTTTTCACTGGAAAGTACTTTTTGTTTTGGGGGAATTGTTTTATTCCAAACACTTTTAAAATGGGAAAAACTCACCTCTGGTTTTATGACAATGACTGCATTGTTAAAGAAGCATCCTTATTCTGAATATTTAGTTAAAAAAATACATTGTATAAGCACAGATAATTTTAAAAATCAAAGCTGTAATCACCTTAATTATTCATATACTGAATATCTAATTGGGGATTATATAAGATTTTGTCATTCCTCTTGTTATCTTTTTATTAATTGTTTTTTTATAATTTTCTTGCTGTATTTTATCTAGATGTATATGTATTTACTTGTACAAAAGGAGAGTCATGGAAGGAATTAAGTTGACATTTAAAATTAAAGTGTTCAAAAACATTTGAATATATGTGTCGGGACACTTTCAAAGCTAAATAAGACATCTAAAAAAAGGAGAATTTTGTCAGGTTATGTGTTTTGGTCTTATTTATTCTGTTATTAAGGTGATGGTGGCTCTTAGCAAAAGATGTATCTTTAAAGCTACTCCATACTTTATCTTCTAAAGTAGTTTTACAAGTATGGTTTGGTCCTCTGCCCTGTAGGATGATTGATTCCCTTTGCTTTTTCTCCTACTTTTATATTGCTGTCAGGAAATAATCAGCAAGAAGTAATGGAATCAATCAGTGGAAATCCGAAGCAAGCATCTAAGTAAAAGAACTTTTCTGGATAGCATAAGATCAGATCTCCTTTCCTCCACTGTTTTTCACAGTCTGCTTCCTGAGCATATTTGAAACATTTTGTTAAATGTTCAGGAGTACTCATTGTAACTGTCCATTCTAGATTAAATTGGCCTTGATTTAGGTAGCTAGCTTTTTCATTTTTGCTTTATTATATTTTTTATTTTTAAACTTTATTTTGGCAGTTCAAGATAGAAATGACATACTGGAAAATAATTGAAAAATTAACATTTGTTTTTCAATAACTGATTCCCTTACTAATTTTTAAATATTAGCATTTCTCTGGCAAAATATACTGTGGAAATATTTGGTAGTCTCAGACCATTTTTCTCCCTTATCAAAGTCTTTTTCATGAAAGATTTTTCACATATACATTTATTTTAGTTCTTTTTTAACATATTAATTGAGTGTTGAGGAAGTTAGTTTTATTTGTGCTGTTATTTTGGAATCTTATATTTGAGTATTCAGCAAATATAATTGCTTAGCTAAATCTGTATGTCATTATTTATTTACCTACTGATTTGCCACTACTCTCTTAAGTACATTAATAGACACAATAATGGAGTGATTTGGAAGATGCTTTTGGAGAAGTGAACAATATCACATTTCTAAATGGAATCCAAAGGAGAATGGAATCCTCCACTGATACATGGATATTCTTGGTGGTAGTGGTTCAGTGGGAATTGGAAGTTACAGCTATGAAGCAGTATGTGAGCAGGTTTATAACGCACATGCACTAATAGGGCTTGCAGAAGAGAACTTAAAACTTTCTAGACTTTGCTGGAGTCTCTTGAGGGAAATTACAGCAGGTGAAACTACCCAAGATAGGGGTTCTAAGGAGGATACTACCTTCAGAGAAACTGTAGTTAGAGGTAAGTGATTTCTCCTTATTTTCTGAATTCATACCATTAACTTACTCTTCTTAGCCCACAAATATCATCATATAGCATCTAAAATTAGTTTTATATTACTGCTTGCCATTGTATATTTTATTAATTCTATATGTTTTAAAAGGAATTTCGTATAAATAGGGATTGCAAAACTCTAGTTAAAAGAAACATTATAAAATTGTTCACTCAGACTATATAAAATTTAGGCTCAATTTTAATGGTTACTCTTTTAAAATTATTTTCCTACCTTTGTTAGTGGACTCTGTTATTTTTGTCTTACTTGATATAGATGTAGACACATCCATATACACTAACATATATACACACACAAACATACACATTGATAGCTATATGTTCTGTTTATTGTATATTGTATTCAGTGTGCCACATATTATGGGTTTGATTTCAGACAGTTAAATGTGAGGTTCTGTTAAAAATCAAAGTGTTTTGTGTTTTTTTTTAATTTCTTTTTCTTTTTACCTTCATCTGAAACACCCAGTTTCTGGAGTTGTTTTATCTTCATTCTCAGACAAATTAATTTGTAAATAATATTTAAGATTAAAATATGAATCAAATTAGCACTCACCTAATTTATCATTATAGCAGACTTAATCAATTTTTATAGTTGTTTTTCAGCATGATTGGTTAGAGATTATTTTTATAATGAGTACTAAGAATCTCCTGCAATTAAAAAAAACCATCACAATGTTTTCGTTACTGAATTGCTTTTTAGCAGATATTTATTAGTTATCTGATCTTTATATTGCCTGACCAAGTAGGGAATCAGTGTTTAAGGGCTCTTTTGCCATTCTGTATATCTCAGATTGAGTTCTATTCAACACTAGTCTGTTATAGGATATAATAGATATTCTGGGGAAGCCTTCTGTGATTAAATAAATTTGGGAAACTATACCAGTAATCCTCTTTGGAAAGATCACACAAAGTGTGTATTGTATGTTAAATATTCCAGTGATTCCTATAGTAGAGAGATTTGTGTAAATGTGTTTAACCTGGCATTTTCCTTCTTGTGGGACATCTGTTAATATCTTAACAGACATATATCCTTAACTTAGGATTCTGAGGAACACATTGTGGAAAAGTCTATGTTAGAGTAAGGTGATTTAAGGAATATCTCTATTTTGTTAAGCTAATATTTATGTCTTAAGGATGTTGAAGGGTAATGAGAATACTAAAATATGTGTTATAATTTCCTGTTTTACATATTTTATTATTCTGAAAAAATATCAGTGAAAGAATTATTTGTATTGGTCCTTTAAAAAGCTTTTGTTCTTAGTGATTTGTTAGGTAATTAGAACCTTCAGTGTTCACTGATTAGATCAAAGTAAACTTGAATCTGCTTATTGCCAAGTACATTTGAGAGTGTATTATTATAAGGAGATAGTTCTAAGTACATTCTAGTAATACATAGAAATTAGACATATAATTTTTTGTTGGTTAATTAGGAAAGCATATATCGTAAAGAAAAATGATTTAGCCTCGTATGTTTGACAGGAGGGAAATGCTTTTTTATTTAACAGTAAAATTTTAGACACTTTTTATGGGTATCTTTTGTCATATGACATATTTACTTAGTCCCTACTTTATGGTAGACACTGTTCTAGGCCATTTTCTTTTAGGATACTTCTGTTATTGAATAAGTATATTTAAATACCTATTTATTATGACAAAATGTATTTGAAAGTCTGAAATTGGGTTTAGCAGCATGATGCCATATAGTTCCTTTGGAGAGATAAGATTACATAAAAGTTCCCTAAGCAAACATAGCTTAATGATTGTTTTAAAGTTTTGAATGGAAAGTTGTTAAATTAGTAAGTATGAAATCAAAAGCATTTCAACATATTTAGTTTACACAAGTTGATATTATAAGTCCTACCCTGATTTAACATCTGATTTGGACATTCTTATATGGTTAGCTCAGCCACATAACTCATTTGGATGAAGGACTGGTGCAGATTTGTCCAAATATGTAAGCATCACATAAAGAAAAATCTCTTCCACAGACTGTATCCTCATTTTTCCAGGAATTTGTATGGTTGGACATAGTGGGAACCAGTTTAAAAAATGGGGACTTCTGCTTTCAGGAAGATGGAGTAGATGTACATTGCCCTATTCCTCCCGGTAAAACAACTGAAAACTTTGAACATTATATATAAAATAAACATAAGAAGACTCTGAAAGGTGGAGAGAAGGCATACAAACTAGGGATTTCAGCACCCAAGGAATCACACGGTGGTGAGTTCCATGGGTTTTCTTTTTGCCTAATATATCCCAAACTTGGAGCTGAAGAAGCTGGCAACCTGGAAACAATAATAGGCACGAACTAAAAAAGCCTTCTCTCTTTACCTTAAAGACCAGAAAGGGACAGATTAGCAAGTCACAAAACCTTTAGATAATAAGTGGTCTGCTCTAGCCAAACACCACAGAAAAACTGAGGCCCCACATCAACTAATACCAGCCAAGGTTGAATGGGGGAGCCTAGACTTCCACCCTTATAACATTGTAACAAGACTCCTTGACACCTCCCAACCTCTACCTTCCCCACCTCCCGCCAGATGGTTTCACAGAAGGCTAAGTGAGGAGCCAGAACTTTCATCCTGCCAGCCAGTAACAAACCTCCCCACCACTATTGCCCATTCCCCTGGTTCAGTGTCATTAGAAACCACATGGAGACCCTGGTCTTCTACCCTCACCTGATAGTAATGAAGTATTCCTTTTTCTCCTTGCTGGCATGATGTCAGAGGAGACTAGTGGAGAGTCACATGTTCACAACCTCCCATGGGTAACGAGGCCAGCCCCCTCCTACTTGTGGTATCAGTGTTGGCCAATAGGGGAACAGTAATGAGATACTACTGGCTCTTATAGACAAGGTGATATCACTAGACAATTCCTTCTCCTGTCCAGCAATAATGAGGAGCCACTTCCCCCCTCAGGTGTCAAAAGAGGCCAAGTAGGAAACCTGGACTTCTCATTCCAGTTGGTACTAATAAGGCAAGGGTCCCTTCTCCAGCTGGGCAGTATCAAAGGAAGCCAGCTAAACAGAGTGCAGAATCTCATAACACCCCAATGTCCAGATTTCAATCAAAAATCACAAATTTCACTTTGAATTAAAAAAGAAAATCAATAGACACAAACACTGAAAAATGGGAGGTGTTAGAATTATCTGACAAATATTTTAAGGCAGCCATCATAGAAGTATTTCAGTGAGCAATCCCAAACACACTGAAAACAAATGAGAACCTAGAAAATTTCAGGGAAGAAATAGCAGATAAAATAAATGGAAATTTAGAACTGAAAAATACCATACTCAAAATGAACAACTCAATCTATAGGCACAACAACAGAATTAAGGAGATAGAAAAAAGAATTGGTGGACTTAAAGATAGAACAATTAATATTACCCAGCAAATACCCAAATATTACACAGCAAAGAGAAGATAGACTGGGGGGATAAAAAAGATCCTTAGAGACCTGTGGGACTATAATACTTGTGACATTGGAGTCCTGGAAGGAGAAGAAAAAGGCAGGTACAAAGAATGACTGAAAACTTACCAAATTTGGCAAAAGTCATAAACCTATATAGATCCAAGAAACTGAGTGAACCCCAAACAGAGTAAGCCAAAAGAACTCTACGTCAAGTCCCATTATAACCAAATTTCTGAAAACTAAAGACAAGATATCTTGAGAAAGAGAGAAAAGACACCTTTGTGATAGGGGAAAAACACTCTGATTTCTTATAAGCAGATTTCTCATCAAAATCAATGGAGGCTAGAAGAAAGTGGCACAGTTTTTTAAGTATTGAAAGAAAAGAACTGTCAACTAGAGTCTCATACCTAGTGAAAATATTGTTTAGGAATGGAGAGGAAATAAAATTTTCAGATGAGGTAACATTAAGAGAATTTGTCACCAACAGACCTGTCCTAAAAAAAAAAATGCCTAAAGAAAGTTCCTAAACAGAAGGGAAATTATAAGAGGAATGGTCTTTGAACATCAGGAAGGAAGGAAGAACAAGGTAAGCAAAAATATGGATAAATACAATAGACTTTCCTTCTTTTCCTGAGTTTTCTAAATTATGTTTGATAGTTGAACCAAAATTATTACAACACTGTCTAATGTGGTTCTACATATATTTAGAAGGAATTTAAGACATTATATTTATTATAAATGGGAGGAGGTATAAAGACAGGTAGGGTTTCTATACTCAAATTAGTAAAAGAATGGTATCACTAGACTGGTAAGTTGTATATACATATGTGTATATATATTATACATATGTGTGTATAAAAATGTAATACCCAAAACAACCACTGAAAAAGAGATACACTCAAAAACACTATAGATAGATCAAAGTAGAATTCAAAAAAATGTTTAAGTAACCCACAGGAAGGCAGGAGAAAATAAATGGAAAGATGAAAACAAGAAAACAAAAAACTAAAAAATAACATGGAAGATCTAGTTAAATGTAAATGGTCTAAATATACCAAGTAAAAGTCAGAGATTGGTATAATAGGTTTTAAAAAAAAGACCCAATAGTATGCTATCTACAAGAAACTCCCTTCAAATACAGTCATGTGTTGCTTAATGATGGGGATACATTCTGAGAAATGTGTCATTAGACAGTTTCATCATTGTGTGAACATTATAGAATGTACTTTATACAAACTTAGGAGGTGTAGCCTACTACACACCTAGGCTATATGGTATAGCCTATTACTCCTAGGCTACAAACCTATATAGCATGTTACTATACTGAATACTCTAAGCCATTGTTGTAACATAATAGTAAGTATCTGTGTATAGAAAAGATACGGTAAAAGTACGGTGTGAAAGATAAAAAAATGGTGCACATTATAGGGTACTTACAATGAATAGAGCCTGCAAGGCTGGAAGTTGTTCTGGGTGAGTCGGTAAGTGGTGAGTGATACAAGGGCCTAGGACATTACTGTCCACTACTATAGACTTTATAAACACTGTGCACTTAAGATATACTAAATGTATTAATAATTTTCTTTATTTAAAAAGAAATTAACCTTAGCTTTCTATCCTTTTTGAAATTTTTAAATACATTTTGTTTATTTAACTTTTTGATTCTTTTGTAATAACATTTAGCTTAAAGCACAAATGCATTGTATACATCTGTACAAAAATATTTTCTTTATATCCTTATTCTATAAGCTTTTTTCTATTTAATTTTTTTTAACTTTTTAAACTTTTTTTGTTAAAAACTAAGACGCAAATACACACATTAGGCTAGGCATTCAAAGGGTCATGTCACTGTCTTCTACCTCCACATCTTGTCCCACTGGAAAGTCTTCAAGGGCAGTATCATACACATGGGGCCATTATTGCCTCCTATGGTAACAGTGCCTTCTGGAATACCTCCTGAAGGACCTGCTCAAGACTGTTTTAATAATATAACACACACACTCTCTCAAATAACAATAAAGAGTATTGTATAGAAATATATAAACCAGTAATAGTCATTTTTTATCATTATCAAGTATTATGTACTATGTGTAATTGTATGCCTTATACTTTTATAAGTGGTAGTACAATAAGTTTGTTTACACCAGCATTACCACAAGCACATGGATGAAGTATTGTGCTACTATGTTAGGATGGCTGTGACATCACTAGATGGTAGGAATTTTTCAGCTTCATCATAATCTTATAGAATCACTGTCATATGTGCCATTCACCATTACCAAAACATCATTAAGTGGTGCATGACTGTATATTGGTATAGGCAGGTTGGAAATAAAATGATGAAGGATGATATATCGTGCAAATATTAATCAAAAGAAATCAGGAATGGCTATATCAACATCAGATAAAAGAAGACTTTAGAGCAAAGAAAATTACCAGCCACAGGGGGACATTATATAATGATAAAAGGTTAGTCCACCAAGAAGACAGCAATCTTAAGTGTGTATGCACTGAGTAACAGAGCTGCAAAATACATGAAGCAAAACTTTCAGAACTAAAAGGAGAAATAGACAAATCTACAATTATAGTTGGAGACTTCAATACCCCTCTCTTGCCAATTCATAGGTAGAAATAACATCTAGACAGATATAGCAAGGATATAGAAGAACTCAACACCACCACCAATCAACAGAATGTAATTAACATTTCTAAAATGCTCTACCCAGCAACATCAGAGTACACATTCTTTTCAAGTGCCCATGAAATATATATATTAAGATAGACCATATACTCTGGGCTGTAAAACAAACTTCTACAATTTAAAAGAAAATTAGAGTGTATGAGTTCTAATCGTAATGAAATCAGATTAGAAATTAATAACAGAAAACAGGAAAATCAACAAACATTTGGATAATAACACTTCTAAGAATCCATGAGTCAAAGAGAAAGTCTCAAAGGAAATTTTAAAATATTTTGAACTTAATGAAAATATAACATCAATTTTTTTGAGACACAGCTAAAGCACTGCTGAGAGTGAAAAGAGGAAAAGTGCCAAATCAGATTCCTAAGCTTCTACCTAACCTGGAAAAAGAAGAACAAAAGAAACCCAAAGCAAGCAGAAAGAAGAACATTGTAACAAAAAAAGCAGAAATCAGTGAAATAGAAAACAGAAAAATCAATAAAACAAAAGAGCTGATTTTTTGGAAAGATCAATAAAATTGAAAAACCTACAGCAAGACTGACAGAAAAAAAGGAAACGAAAATTTCCAGTATCAAGAACAAAAAGGATGTCACTATAGATCTTGCAGACATCAAAGGGATAATGAGGGAATATAACAAACAACTCTGCACACATAAATTTGAAAGCTTAGATAAAACGAACCAATTCCTTGAAAAGCACAAACTGCAACTCACCCAATAGGAATTAGGTAATTTGAATAGCTCTGTAACTGTTAAGGTAATTACATTTATAATTAAAAACTCTTGTAAACGAAATCTGCAAGTCTGGATTGTTTCTATACCAAACATTTGAAGAACAATGAACACAGTTCTACACAATTTCCTTCCAAAAAAAGGAAGAGGAGGGAACTCTTCCGATTTGTTTTATGAAGCTATTTTTAACCTGATACTAAACCAGACAGGACAGTAAAAAAAGAAAAAATCAATATCCCTCATGCAAATAGATCCCAGGTTGGGAAGGGTATGTTTGTGGGGAAGGTGGGCTGAAGAGGTAGATTAATAGGTACAAACATACTGTTAGGTAGAAGGAATAAGTTCTAGTGTTTGACAGCACAGTAGGCTGACTGTAGTTAATATATTGTATATTTCAAAATATTAATAGTTAGATTTGAAATGTTTCCAACACAGATTGATTAATGTTTGAGGTGATGAATATCCTAAATACCCTACCTTGATCGTGACACACTACATCATTCTTTGCATGTATCACATGTATCCTACAAATATGTACAAATATTATGTGTCAATAAAATAATTCTTGAAAGGAATATTTAAATGGAGAGACATACTGTACTCATTGATTGGAAGATTCAACATGGTAAAGATGTCAATAGATGCATGCAAAATATGCCTAACTGATTTTTCACAAAGGCACAAAAGAAATTCAATGGAGGAAGGATGGTGTTTTCAACATATGGTGCTGGAACATATGGGCTGCTATATCACAAAAATTACAAAAATTAAAATGGATTGTAGACTTAAATGTAAAACTACACAACTTTTTTTAAAAAGGAGAAAAATCTTCCAGATATAGAGCTAAGCAAAGAGTTCTTAGATTTAATACCAAAAGTATTGTTTCCAGAAGGAAAAAAGTAGTATTTCCAGAAGGAAAAACTGACAAGTTGGACCTTATCAAGATTAAAAACATTTGCTACCTGAAAGCCCATGTGATGAAGAGGAAAAGAGAAGATACAGACTGGAAGAACATATTTGCAAACCTGATGTATTTACAATCTGACAAAGGACTCATACCCGGAATATAGAAAGAACTCTCAAAACACATCAGTAAAAAAAAAATTCAGGCAAAAGACATAAATAACAATTCATCAAAGAGGAGGTATGTAAACTAAATACAGACAAGATGCTCAATATCACTGGCTATTAGGGAAATGCAAATTAAAATCACAATGAATATATTATTATTCATCTACCAGATGGCTAAAATATAATGACAGCATAACAAGCTGGTGACAATGTGGAGAAACCGGATCACTCAATACATTGCTGATAGGAATGTGAAATATTGCAGGTGGTATCTTATAAAACTAAATGTGCAATTACCATAAACCCCAGCAATTGTACTCTTGGTTATTTATCCCAGAGAAATGTTAATTTATGTCCACATAAAAACCTGTACACAGATGTTCAAAATGATTAAAAAACTGGAGCCAAACCAGTTTTGCCTCAACAAGTGAATAGTTTAACAAACTGTGGAACATGTAAACCATGGAATACTACTCAGCAATAAAAAGGAACAAATTATTGATACACAAGAACTTGAATGAATATCCAGGGAATTAATGTCAAGTGAAAAAAGGCAATCCCCCAAAGTTACATACTTTATGATTTCATTTATGTAATATTTTTGATAAGACAACATTTTAGAACTGTGGGACAAATGAGTCATTACTTATGAATTATGGATTTGATAGGGGCAAGGAAAGGACAGGTAGGTGGTTGTGGCTGTAAAAGGGCAGTACAAGGTGTCCTTGTATAGGAACTGTTTCTTGACTTGGTGGTGGATCTGGGAACTATACAGGTGTTAAATTGTGTAGACCTTAATAAACACACACATACACACACACACAGATAAATGAATACACCAAAACTGGTAAAATCTGAATAAGAAAGATGGGTTGTATCTATGTCAATATCATGGTTATGGTATCATGCTACAGTTTTGCAAAATGTTATACTATTAGAGAAAACTGGACATAGTGTACAAGGGATCTGTCTGTATTTCTTACAATTGGATGTGAATTTGCAATTATCTCAAAAATTACAATGAAAAATAAGTAGGTGGCTTAAGTAACAGTGTCCGGAGTCCTTTTCTTAGTTAAAATAATAACATATATGTCCTTGTAAAGTTAGCTGAATATTTCTTTCCTCCTTCTTTTTTTTTTGAGACAGTCTCATTCTGTTGCCCGGGCTAGAGTGCCATGGCGTCAGCCTAACTCACAGCAACCTCAAACTCCTGAGCTCAAGCCATCCTTCTGCTTCAGCCTCCCAAGTAGCTGGGACTACAGGCATGTGCCACCATGCCTGGCTAATTTTTTTCTATATATTTTTCGCTGGCCAATTAATTTCTTTCTATTTTTAGTAGAGATGGAGTCTCGCTTTTGCTCAGGCTGGTTTCGAACTCCTGACCTTGAGCGATCCTC